ACTGTGCTGTGAGCCCTGATGCTTCCCGGACAGTTGCCCAACACAGTCCCGCTGCCCCTCTCTACTGGCTCTTGGCATTAGCAAACTACTTTTCAGAGGCTGTATTTTGTGTGTAAGACCCCCAACGGCTACAGTAAACTGGCTTTTCTCTAAATGCTGCAGATTGGTTATAGACTGTTAAGGACTCTGGACTCCTTTTTTGGGACCACAGCAGCTCCATGGAAGCCACTAGATGTATTTCTATATTTTCTTTTGGGGGGAGTGAGGAGATTGAACTGTTGTTATACTTTTATAAAAATGAAGAGAAGTTTGTTCAGGGATCAAATTCCAGCTGTCAGGCTCTTGGCAGCAAATGCGTTTACCTGCTGAACCATCTCACCAGCCTCTTGTCTCTCTGGTCACTTGGCTGTAAGGTGGTGAACAGGCATCCTCTGCTATGCCCTCCCACCATGACATTCTGTGCACCACGGATCCAATGCAACAGGACCCAGAGTCATGTATTGAAATCACTGAAACCGTGAGCTAAAACAGAACTTTCTTCTTTATAAGTTTTAACCTCAGGTATTTTATTATAGTGACAAAAAACTGACTCATACTGAGCTATCTCAGATGTCAAAATATGTAAATACTGAAGAACATCTTTTCTGACTACAATGAATTTGTGTCTTTGTTATTATAAAAGGCTTCCCTTCAATTATTCAGCTTTCCTGTGCTCAAAGTTAACATGATAACATTTGCCTCATACTTTTAATTTTAACTTTCTGTATCTTTGTATTTAAAGTGGCTGGCTATCTTATCTTTTCCCTGAGGTATAGACTTGTAACTCTATCTACTAGGGAGGCTTGCAGTGGAAGGATCTCAAATTCACTGCTTGCCTGGTCTGTACAGAGTAGTTCAAGGTCAGTCTTAGCAACCTGGTGAGTAATGGATGGTTGTTAGCCTCTATGTGGGTGCTGGGAACCAAACCCAGGTCCTCTGCAAGAGCAGTCAGTGGTCTTTACTGCTGAGCCATCTTTCTAGCCCCCAACAATTTGTTTTTGTAGTGGAGTGTTTAGCTTGCATTTCACATAACCATCTACATATTTGGCTTTAAATGTATCATCTTGTTATCACTTTTTTAATAAACTGTCTCCTTAACTTTGTTCCCTTTTCCTTTTTATCTGCTTTCTTTTATGTGAATTAATAATTCATGGATGAAGTTATAATTTATGGTATAGTACATGTTTAGCATATGTGAGACCCTGGGTTTGATCTTTAGCATTATAAAATAATTAGATTTATCTGCACAGCTGTTCATTAGATACAAGTGTTTGCTGGTTCTTGGTGTTTGACTCCAGAATTTATAATATGCATTTTAATTTGTCAAAGTCTACCTTAAAATGTTTTAAAATTTATTCATATTTTATGTGTATGAGTGTTATGCCTGTATGTGGGTGGGTGCATCCATGCTGTGCAATGCCCATGGAGGGAAAAAGAGGGCATTGGATCCCCTGAAACTGGACTTACAGTTGTTAGCTGCCGTGTGGGTTGTTAGCTGCCAGGTCCTCTGCAAGAGCAGACTGTGCTCTTAACTGCTGAGACATCTTTCCAGCCCTCAAAGTCTGATTTAAATAACATTTGCTTTTCATGTAAGAATTTAAAAATAGAACCCTTTCTTCCTTAGATTATTTTTTTAAAAATTTAAATTTATTTTTATTTTGTGTGTATGAGTGTTTTGCCTGCATGTATGTAAGTGCACCATAGAGGGTGTTGGATACCCTGGAACTGGAGTTATAGATGGTTGTGAGTCTCCATGAGGGTGCTGGGAACTAAACCCAGGTCCTCTGCAAGAGCAGCAATTTTACTCTTAACTGCTGAGCAATCTCTCCAGCTCCTCTACTTTTTGTTTTGTTTTTTGATACAGGGCCTTACCTGGCCTGGAACCCTTCCATCTTATTTTTTTTTGAGACATGATCTCTCACTGAACCTGGAGTTCATTGATGTAGCCACACTGACTGGTCAATGAGCTTCAGAGATCTGTCTGTTTCTGTCCTCCTGCCCAGTGCTGGGGTTACAGATGCAAACCACTGGGCCTGGCTTTTCACATGGGTTCTAGGGATCCAAACTCAGAACCTTGTGTTTTCTTTTTTGGTATTTTTGAGACAGGGTCTCCCTGTAGCCCCAGCTGGCCTGAAACTTGCTATGTAGACCAGGCTGACCTTGAACTCACAGAGATGTGCCTGCCTCTGCCTCCCAAGTGCTGGGACTAAAGGCGTGTGGCACCACACCCAGCTAGAACCTTATGTTTCCATGGAGACACTTTATTGATGGAGTCATCTCCTTAGGCCACCACCTTGTTTTTTGAGACAGGATCTCTCACTGGCCTAGAACTTGCCATGTAGGCTAGACTTCCTGGCCATCCAGCCCTAGGGATCTGCCTGTCCCTGCTTCCCCAGGGCTGGATTACAAGTACATGCCATCACACCTGGCTTTTTAGGTGGGTTCTGGGGATTGAACTCAGGTCCTCATGCTTACAAGACAAGCGCTTTACCAATGGAACCATCTCATTGCTAAAATTGTAGTTTGACAAGTATTTTCTTTCAGCATTTAAAATATGCCATTCCAAACTGTGTGGTAGCATAGATCTATAATTCTAAAATTTGTTAGGTAGAGGCAAAAGGATGGTGAAGTAACAAGCCTGGGATATGTATTGAGTTTGAGGCCAGCTTAAGCTACATAACAATATCCTGTTTAAAAAAAATGAGCCACGTGTGGTAGCACAAGCCTTTAAGCCTCATACTGGGGAAGCAGTGGCAGGTGGATCTCTGAGATAGAGGCCATCCTGGTTTACATAGCAAGTTCTAGGTCAGCTGGGGCTACTCTCAAAAATACCATCACCACCAACAACCATCACCGCCACAACAAATGCATTTGGGGCTGGAAAGATGGCTCAGCAGTTAAGACCCCTGGCTGCAGAGGGCCCTGGTTTGGTTCCCAGAACTCACATGGTGGCTAACAATGATCCATAATGCCAGTTCCAGGGGATCTGATACCCTATTCTGGCATTGCACATACACGGTGCACTATCATACATGTAGGCAAAGCACTCATACACATAAAATAAATAAACAAATGAATTATATTTAAAAAAGCATTCCATTGTTCCCTGGCTTCCATTATTTTTGATAAGAAGTCTACTGTTATGCCTTTGTTCCTCTTGATGGGATGTGGTCCTCTTCCAACCCATTGACTGTTTTGAAGAGTTTTTATTTTCCTCTATTAGTGGTTTGCAATGACTATTTATCTGTGTCTTATTTTCTTCAAGTCTCTTCTGCTGCTGTTCATTGAGCTTCTTAGATATATGTGACAGTTTTCATCCACTTTGGAAGTTATTTGGCCATGATTTTTTCAAACGTTTTCTTCTGTTTCATTCCTCATTTTCTGGCCAATTAATTGACAAGAGAGGCTGGCGTTGAGGAACTCTAGGTTTGGACCTAGTAAGGGTGGTATTAAAACAATTTAATGCTCATTGCAGGGTGGACAATGGGCACTAATGGTCACTAGTTTAAAATGGCAGGCAAAGTCACATAGGTCTGGTCACTACTGAACAGAAAGAAGCACTGGACCAGGTTCTAGGAGAGAGGGGGTACAGTGTACCACCCTCTTCTAACATCTGCCCAGGAATTATCTCCACAGCCTCAGGAGTAGGGATGCTACATGCCAGGGTAGTAGGACCTCTGTGAAATGGACCCGGCTGCCATTCTGTCTTGGAAGGTGAGCTGGGACTGTGTCTTCAGCATCAGATTATTGGAGCATGAGTCTTGTGATAGGACAATTGTATTCTCCAAACTCATTATCCATGAGTAAGTCCTAACACATACCTGATACCTGGATACCAATATTGCTCATGGGGGCCCTGACCCACTCATCCATCAGTACTGGCAGCTTGCCCATGGACATTTCCATCTCTCTCCTCTCATATTTCCATCCTCATTCTTCCAATTTGTTGAAAATTTATCCATTGACTTTTTGTGGGATGTCGTGACAAATATCTTATTTCTAATGATACAAATTAACTTTAAAGTATTTTATTTTATTTTTTAATATTTTAGTTATTATTTTATTTTAAAATAACATCTATATGAGTGTATTGCTTGCAGGTATGTAAGTGCACCTGTGCAGTACCCGTGGAGGTCAGAAGAGGGCGTCGGATCCCCTGGAACTGGAGTTATGGACAGTTATTAACTGCCATGTGGGTGATGGGAACTGAAACTTGGTCCTCTGAAAGAGCAGCCAGTGCTCTTAACCACTTGAGCCATCGCTCCAGCCCCTTTAAAGTATTTGAATGTATTGAGATAGTAATTTTTTTTTCTCTCAGGTAGCTCAGGCTGGCCATGAATGCACTGTATTGCTGAGGATGACCTTCAACCTCACCTCTTGAGTGCTGGGATTGCAAGTGTACGCCACCATGCCAGATTTATGCAATGCTGATGACGGAACCCAGGGCTTCATGCAGGGCTAGGCAAACATCCTACCAACTGAGCTACAGCCCAGCCTCACTTTAATTAAAAAAAGAAAAAGTAACTATCATTTGCTAAAAGTTTGTTAACTTTTCTTTTGTGAGAAGAACTAAATAGAGAAAGTCGTGGGCCACCTCGCCCTTAATCCCAGCACTCAGGAGGCAGAAGCAGGTAGATCTTTGTGAGTTCAAGACCAACTTGGTCTACATAGTGAGTTCCAGACCCACTGGGCTACAGGAAGACTCTGCCTCAAAAAGACAAAAAACAAGCAGGCAAACAAACAAATAAACAACCCCCAAATCCCAGAGAAAACATTAAGCTTTACAAAATATATTACTTAAAACTTAAATTTCCTATATCCACCAGATACAGATATTCTACAGTTTAGTTCATATCAATCTATAATTTTTGTGAGGGGGTGGGGTGGGTGGGTACAGTGAGCTTTATTGATGGTATTCAAGAGCATAGGGCTCCCTAAGCCCCTCCCCTTCTTCAGGGGGTCTAGGATGGAAACTGAAGGAAGATGCTCAGTGTTGGGGGCTGAGTTAGGGCGGGCCCCAGCCTTCTCCATGGTAGTGAAGAGCCCGGTAGATTCCACAACATACTTGGCACCAGCATCACCCATTTGATATTGGCGGGATCTCGCTCCTGGAAGATGGAGATGGCTTTCCCATTGATGACAAGTTTCCCATTCTCAGCCTTAACTGTACCATTGAACTTGCCGTGGGTGGAATCATACTGGAACATGTAGACCATGTAGTTGAGGTCAATGAAAGGGTCATTGATGGCAACAATCTCCACTTTGCCCGAGTTGAAGGCTGCCCTGGTGACCAGGTGCCCGATATGGCCAAATCTGTTCACTCCGACCTTCACCATGGTGTCTCAGGGACGAGGCTGGCACTGCACAAGAAGATGCGGCTGTCTCTAGAACAGGGAGGAGCAGAGAGCCAATCTATAATTTTTGAAAATGTAAATTTTTAGTTTTGACTTTTATGAGAAGCAGTAAATTGTTAGTATAACAAAGTTTATTCATGGTTTGCACATTGGAGGTTTTCAGAACTTCTCAGAGCTTTCAGCATTTAAAAAAATACCATTTTTATTAAATGGTATTATTTTCAGAAATGAACAGTCATTGCTAACCTTTCAAACATAGAAATGTACTTAGAAAGTGAGACAGTTCTTATGATCCAGTTCTCCTGTGATAACCATCTTGCTATTTGACACACTCCCCACCAGTGACCCACCAAAGGACAGGAAGTTCTCCTAACCCAGACCAAGCTTTGTCGAGTGTGTGCTTTGCATGCAGTATTCTGTCAGTTGGGACTAGCCTGCTCTATGCCCCCTGCTTGGTAAATGACTGCTTCTTAGGGTCTGTCTGAGATGCCACCTCGTCCTCCTTCAGATCTGCCAGCAGTTAGGGCTTCTCTTCTGTACACCTCGGGCCCTTGTAGATAACTCTCCTACAGTGTTCTTTGCACTGAAGGGAAGTCTGAATGTGACTCGCCTGTTTCTAAAGTCCCCATGCTTCTCCGGGCTGTGCTGTTTCCCTTGAGTTGAGCTTTGCTTTTTCCCTTTCCTTTCCTCCTCCCCCTCCCTCCCTCTCTTCTTCCATCTTCCTCCCTCATCTCCTCTGCCTTTCTCCCTCCCTCCCTCCCACCCTCCTA